TTTAGTATTCTCTGAAAATTGTTTTGTGAAATTATGAAACATTAATTATATTCATGGATATTATCTATTATTCTCCCAAAGATCAAAATGCTTACAATCAACTTAGTAGTAATCATATAAAAGTACATGAGAACAGAGGACAAATGCAATATAAGCTATTTGATTAAGACTTAAGGGTAAAGCAAAAGCAGCCCATTGAGAATATTTCCAACAATAGAGCATAGTACTGGAAAACAATTAATTAATGTTGGTTACCTACTCATTTCTCCATACCTAAAGTCGCAGCAAATTATATTACATATAATTAACAGGTATTTGATAAAATTTTCAGCGAGATGATGTTATTTTCTTTTTATTTTTCCTTTTATCTCTTCACTTAATCCGTATTGAATGCTTCAATATATAATCCTCCCATGTTACTTGGACTTATGTAGATAGAAACCATTATCGCTTAGTTTTTGTATTTATGATTTTAGATCTTTTTTTTTTCCTTCTCCATGGACGTTTTGATTTATAATTTCTCTCTAATACTAATTATGCTATCTATAGTAATATAAAAAAGTTGTTGAAAAAAAATACTTAAATAATAAATTTGACTTAAAAAATAAAGTGTTGATTTACTAATCCCCTCTATATATATATATAATTTCAGAATAGGTTGAACCTACATGACAAACTCTCACGCTTCGGAATCCTATGTGGCAAAAAACCATGCTTTGGAGTTAGGCTTGGATATAAATTAATATTTTTATCACACTAAATCTATGATTGATTTTTTAATTTTTACTTTTACAATTAATTACCATAAATTATTTTATATTTCTTTTTCCTATATTACCATATATTACATTTCATTTTCTTATTTAATTTATTCATTAGTTATTATAATGTTTTTTCTTCTTATTTTAAGATTTTATAACTTTTTTGTTTGTATTTTATTTTTGATATATGATATATCAAATTAACTATCTTTTAACGATTTTCAATTTGACATCCATATTATATATATAAAATACAAAACAGAAAAGATATTAAATAAAACTATAAATTATATTATAAAGTAATAGAAATTGGTATGTATTCTTTTAAAAATGATATTTATTTCAAATCTAATTGGTATGTTATCAATCTAATTAAAATAAATAATTATTTATCTAAATTCTAAAATTACATATAAAGTTAGAAAACTGTGAAGTACAACGGATAATATACTTGATGTATTAGGCATATAATTAAGTAAAAAATTAATCTATTTTGCTTAATATTAAACAAACATATTTATGCACTTATGAATATACATATCACCATATTATTTCTATTTATTTAAGATATATATTTTTTTCACTTAATAATAGTAAATAATGTCGATAATTTTATATGATATAAGTAAAAAAATTCAATATGAGTTGACATTTTCATTTAATATATGGGTGTTTAATTATTATGATTAAAAAATATAATTTTACAATTTAATTAAAATCCAAAGTAATGTTTTATATAAAATTAAATTATTTTAGTTAAAAAAATTAATATTTTTTACATATGCTTCCTAATTCAACTCTCGTGTATTTACACGGGTATTGTACTAGTATAAATAATATTCTACAACCCACATGTGATAATGATTTTTAAGAATTTTGGTAAATCTTTTAGCCGAAAATTTGGTAAGGGGTTCAAAATTTTGAGCCTTTTTTTTTTAACAACATTCACAATATGATCGGATTTTTTGGGCCTTTTTTTGTGACAAATTTCATAATTACTTACACAAAATCTCTATCAATTGTGGTAAAATATTTTAGCCGAAAATTTGGTAACAACCTTCACAATATGATCGGATTTTTTTGACTTTTTTTTTGTAACAAATTTCATAAATATTTTCACAAAATCTCTGGCCGAATTTTGTAAAGGGGTCGAATTTTTAGCATCATTTTTTTTTTTGGTAACAAACTTCAATATGATCGAATTGTTCGGGTTTTTTTTTTATAACATTCAAACAATTTTTTGTATAGTTAATGTAAATAGTTATTGATTAATCATTCAAATGATAATTATTTACAAAACTGAAAATAATATTGAATTATAAATATTTGTTATAAATAAGATAAATCAACTGGTATCCAACTGTTATGTCATTATTAGATTAGAAAAAAATTTAAAAATATAAATTAAAAAAATAAAATAAATTTGAAGTAATTTTAAAATTAATAAATTTTATCTGTATTATAATATATTCTATACAATCGTGTATTTAGGATTAAAAACAATATATTGTAATAAAGCATGTAACTATGAATAAGTGAAAAAAAACAAGAAGCATTTTCTTGAATATTAATTATTGATAATATTTGAATATTTTAAGGTTTCATATTCCTTAATTGTAAATAAGAAGTTTAAAATAATAATTGTTTCAAAATAAACATATTAATCATATATTAAACTATAATATATCATAAAAATATAAATATTCTAAATCATTTTAATCGTTATTCTAATATTCTTTCACTATTTTAATTTCTAAGATATATCATTATTTTCCTCATCTATCGCATATCTATATATATATAAAAAGAATTACTATTTACTATGAATAGAAAGCTAAATAAATTAGCGAAAATCTAATGCATTCCAAATTCAGAAATGTTTTCAAATTTTTTTAACTAAAAAACCGGGCAGCATTTATTGAACCTAAAATGGTGGGAATTGAAAAATTGAATCCGATTCTTATGTGAACATTTAAATTCAAGTTTCTTTCTCATTACATGTTTCCAAAAAGTTGGACTAGATTCAAGTTTTGGACGAATTTAAATTGCATTAAAAAATTTGTAATATTTAAAAATCATTAAGGATTTGTTCAAGAATTTAAAAATCTCTAGCAATAGGTAATTTTGTTTCTACTCAAACACATGATTTTTTTTTCAATGATCTAAAATTATATTTCAGTTTTACTTTTTTATTTTTTGTTCAGAATCAACAATGTTTCCAACAAATTTGTAGTGATTTTTTCAACAATTACTTAATAAAATCGGCCTGAATTCAAATTTGGGACAAACTTAAAATGCATTCAAAATTTTGAGCAATTTAAAATTTTAAAATCTATATCTATGTCTATATCTATATATATAATAAGAATTATCATTTACCAAAAATAGTAGCAACAAAATATGTCAGAATTTAATGCAGCTTATAAATAGTAAGTTTTATTATTTTTTCTTAGTTTTTTTCTTTAAAATCATACAGCGTTACATGTTACCTTAAATTTTGGGCTTTAGTTCATTTTATTATTTAAAAAATTCGGCTAAGATTTATTAAGTGTGCATGTTTTTGTTTTTATTTTTTTCTTAGAAACAACGAATAACATTAAAATCTCAGTCTCTATATTTATAAAATCCCAATTCAAAATATAACAAAAGTTTTAGAATCTCGGTCTTTATTATTGTGCCTTTAAAAAGATATTGAATGCTAAAAATATTCTTTAAATTGCATAATTAATCAATTAATCTTTAACTTTTTAAAAATTACTATGTTTATTTTTTATTAATATGCATAAAGTAAAAATAATTAATTCATATTTAGATATTTAATTTACTCTCTCCTATTCATAATAAGTATCGTTTTAAGAAGTTGCACAGTAATTAAGAATATTTTTTTTTTCAATAATAACCTTCTTTAATGAAGATAGAGAGTGATGTTTTGGGAAAAAATGAATATTGAATATGAAAAGACATAGTGTATTTATTAGCTAAATGAGGGTAATAATGAAAAAATATACACAAAAGATCCAAAACGACATTTATTTGGTAAATAGTTAATAAAGCCAAAATGACATTTAAAAAGAATATGAGGTAGTATAATCTTAATATACTATCATTTGGTGTAGACATTTATTATATGAATCATAAAATATTTTTATTTCATAAAATTAAATATATTTAAAGAAAATAAGAAAATTTTTTCGGATCAATCGGGTGATTGAATTTGCTTACTGCCCAGGTTGATTGAATTACTTTTAGATGATATTCAAAATAGTCAAAAAACTTGACACAACTTGGTTGGTCCTAGGTGACTAAGTTATGTATCAGTTCGATCACACCAAATCGATTATTGTACCTAAATATAAATTTTATATTAAAATTATTTTATTACGTGAATGTGATGTAGTCCAAGCTTTAAATAATCGTATTAACAATACTTTTATGACAACATGTTTAATGATTTATGAATATTTATATATCATTTTATAAATATTTATGTGAATTAAATATTAGTTTATTATAACATTTATTAATGTACATTAAATATAAGGTTTTCAGAACTGGACCGTCCTCGAAACGATGAAGCTATTTTATTAAATCATTTGTGATTTGTTTAGATTTTAATTCATAAACATTTTAATATATATATATATATATATATATAGTACCTTTTGTAATAAATTTAAAATGTGTTACTTAGATATCTAAACAATTTATAAATTCAAACGTTTAAACTAATTGATAAATAATTTATAAATATCTATTTTATTTAAATATGTTATTTTATTTAAAATAATTTTAAATATAACAAAATTTATTTAGAAAATCGTATCGATCCTACCAATCCAACCGACTGGTGTTGACGGATTCGAGAGCAAATATTTTATTCAAGCAAATTAGATTGGTTATAAACAGGTTCTCGGTCCATTCGGACGGACTGTGTCCAGCCCAGTTTAATTTAAAAACAATGAATAAATCATGATTAATGTTATTTATATATTTAGTTTATAATACAATCGTAATATTGTTTTTCCGTGCATCGCACGAGCCACGCACTAGTATATATATATATGGGGATTTATATTTTTTTGTAAGGCGATTGACCCACTCGCATTGTATGTGTACATGTAAACGTGGATGCTCGTTTGGGCTTATAATACTACAGCAGATTTTTTTGTTGATTAATAATTCTTAGTTTAATTTTCAACCCAAAGTTCAATTGGGCTTTAAATAGCCCAATCTCTCAATATGAGCGACAATCAGCATGACAGAGGTTAGAGGAGCTTTTTTTTCTCACCATTCCTAATCCTATTAGAAGTCTTTCCTAACACTAATGCAGTTAAGCAATTGCATTGAGCTGATTAATTAGTATAAATATACACCTACCCCTTACATATTTTTTCCTATTATCCCATCTGAAGAGCCACAAATATCCATAAACGAAATTCAAAATTTAATTATCCAGGTATGAGCCATTCCAGTAAATTCTATAATCCAGCGTATTTTAGTTACTTCAATTTACAAACTCTATATTAGGATTAAATTAATACAATTAAGTTATATTTTTTTTAATATGTTTTGCTTATTGATTTTCAGGCATGGCTTTGTTGAAAAGGGAAATCTTGTTGCTCTTGATTTTTGTTGGTGTTTGTGGCTTTTGCAAATGCAATGGCTCTGTGTACAAAGTTGGTGATAGTGTTGGGTGGACTATCATGGGCAATGTGGATTATAACCAATGGGCATCTTCAAAGACCTTCCAAGTTGGTGACACTCTTGGTTAGTTCTTGCAACTTTCTTTCATTAGCTTATATTATATATTTTTATCCCTAAATTTTAAAATTTTATGAACTTGTTCAAGTCTGAAATAGAATAATGATTTTGCCTCTATTGAATTATTTTCTTACTGTTGTAACGCGATTTTCATGCCTATAATAAATGGACCTTGCTGAATTAAAACAATCAATTTTTTCGTATTATAAAAGTTAATGAATAAATCTTTTTTTTTTCTTTTTGTGTTTAGTTTTCGAGTATGATCAAGCATTTCACAACGTGATGCAAGTAAGCCAATCGGACTTCCACTCGTCAATCCTAGGGCTCCCATGGCCACTTACGCCACCGGAAACAACTCAATCGACATCCATAACTCCGGCGACTATTACTACATTTGTGGCTTTGTGGGCCACTGCCAAGTCGGACAGAAGGTGGAGATAAGGGTGCCAAGTTCTTCTCGGCCCACTATTCCAGGCCCAGCCCAAGCTCCCCATGGGACTGAAGAAGCTCCTCAGGACCATCCTATCAAGTCGGTTGGGCCAACCCCGTCTCCAAACGGTGCAGAATCCATTCTTCCTAAAAATGCCCTGTTTTCCGCTAGTGTTAGGCTATTGCTTCTACTTATTTGGGCTTACAACTGATGGGTTTAATTGGACTGGGACTGTGTGTTTCGGCTTGCTTTCTTTAATTTTCTCTTTTTTGTTTCCTTTTTCTTTTCTAATTTTTTTAGTGTTTTGTGTGTTGGCTTTTGGTGCCTGGTGTCTGGTGATTNTTTTGGAAAAAAAAAAAAATATTGATAATATTCTACAATGTTCTAATTTTTCGAGGTTCTTAAGTAGTTTGTTCATTAACCAAGCATTAAAAATTTTCCCTCTATATATATTTCTAAATATGTTTAGCCTAAATGAAAGGCTCACTCGCATGTTTCAGAAACTTATTTGACATAAGTGTATGTTTTGTATTGACACATGTACAAATTTTGTTTAACTACTGAGTTTAAGAATTACCATAAAATTATTTTACCTTTCCTTCTCATAAATTAACATATATTATATTTCCATTTTATGAGTACCATAAACTACATTTCCTTTTCAATTGTAATTCGTATATTAATTATTATAAATATTTATTCTCCTTACTTTAAAAAAATAACTTTTTTATTTGTATAATTTTTTCATAATATGGTATATCAAAATAACACTCTTTTTAACGATTTTTGATTTAATATGCATATTGTATATATAATATAAAATACTTTCATATGTCTTTATTATGCGTGTGTCATTATTTTTTAAATGTAATTTTATTGTTTTGTCAAAAATTATTTTATTATATGTGCGTCATAATAGTGATTTTTTTTAATGTGTAATTTACTGGTATCAGAAGGTTTTGAATCATAACCAACACTAATAATTTTTATAATAACCAATCTAAAAAGATATAAATATTTGTTACGTTCGAGCGTCAACCTCTACTACTCACGAAATAAGGTTTAATTGTGGGTTTTAGGGTGATTATAATGGTATAGATTTAATCGTCTACTTATGATAAACGATAATTATTGATGTATCAAAATTGAATATAATCAACATGTTTTTCTTTTTTACTTTCTTTTTTCCTTCCTTTTCGCTTTAATGCCTTTTTTGAGTCCATTTTCCCATCCGGGTTATCTTTCTTGTTACCCACCTGCATAGCTTATAAGGTGATCATCAAATTGATTATCATTTGCGCTTGAAAATCAAAGAAAAAAAGGGGTAGCTTTGTCTACGCAACGTGGTTTAACCAAAAAAGAAGTTTTCAAGAAGCTACTCTCGAAGGGTTCCCCTACCCTTACGGTTCGTTTTTTCCAAAATCAAAAGAGCGATTGGGTCTATCACCCTCTGTACTCAGATACCTATTCCTTGCCTCTATGACTTTATTTCGCTTCGCTTTTAAAATATAGCATAAATGAGTAAAAATATGAAACGGAAACTAGGAACAACAGAAAGAGACCCCGATCTAGGTTGGGTATCAACAAAGAGTATTATTGTCGCGTATATTTTGCCGAGTAGCATGGAGTAGGGCTGTTATCGAACCGAACCGAACCGAGCTTAAGGTGTTCGAGCTCGAGTTCGATTAATTTTCGAACATGTTCGTGTTCGTTCGATTAGTAAACGAACAAAAAATTTTGTTCGTGTTCGTTCGTTTATTGGTTCGACACGTTCGTGTTCGTTCGTTTATCTAGTCGAACATGTTCGTGAACTGTTCGAATTGTTCGACAAGTTCGTGTTCGTGTTTTTTAACCTTTTTTTTTAATGTCATACAAGTTATTTTATTTAAAATTTAATATTTATTCATATTTATATGTTATATTATATATGTATATACTATATATAATATATAAAATTATTAAATATTTGTGTTTTATTTAATATTTAATATATATTCATATTTATATATTATATTATACATGTATATACTATATATAATATATAAAATTATAAAATATTTTTTTTGTTCGCGAACGTTCTATTAGTTCGCGAACATGTTCGTGTTCGTTCGATAACTAAACGAGCTTAATTTTATGTTCGTGTTCGGTTCGAATGCTAAACAAACGAGCTTTTATCGAGCACGAACGAACTCGAACGAGCTTTGTTCGCGAACGTTCGGTTCGAAAAACAGCCCTAGCATGGAGTGTGTTTTCATGGGCCTAAAAGTCTGAATTTCTACACAGAAAAGTAAAAAAATCATCATGACTTAGGAGACAACTAAGGCCGTATGGGAATGACATGTGTCCTCATGCAAAGTCTCGACATTTGATGATGGGTGCGGTTCATGTTCATATGCAGAAGGATCGTCAATCGTCGAGGCAAAAGAATAGAATTAGATCCGTAACTTCGCATACATGCGGATCGACATGACCTTGGTAACAAAGTTTCTTGGGCTGTTCTTTTTAGTAGTTTAGGCCCAATCTTTAACAGGTTCGATTTCCATTATTATTTAATGGGTCTACCCAGAGTAAATGTAATTTCATACGTATAACAATAGTTTTATATAGAAAAGAACAATAGATATATAAATATGTATATATATATAATTATCTACAACTAAATTTTCATAATAAACATACTTTATTCTAGTTTTTATTCATATTATTGAATTTAAACATTATGTAATGCTTAACATAATTAAATTGACCTCGCTCTTGCATGTGCACGGATAAAAGAGTACTAGTTGTAATGTATATATATTACACACTTTTACATCCCAAATTCCCAAAAAATAAAAAAAAAATCTCATAGAAACACTTAATCTTGTAGAATTTCATTTATTAATTCATCTTTAGAAGCAACGTCCAAGTATTAACTCAATGCTTGTGAGATATAGTGTCGCTCACGCGCCACCTTCCTCGTCCCCATTGCCACCAGTATCGGGTCCCTCAGCCCCCTGTGGTGGTGGCGGATTTAGTTTTGGAGGTGGATTTGAAGGGCGACCACCCTTTGTGCCACATTTCTTGATGCACAAACAACTTCCACGCGAGCAACTTCCGGTCGTGAAAGCTTCTTGCCGGCACATTGTTTTGCAATTCATCCTTTGATTACTCCATAAACATGTTCCCTTGTACTTCTTGCTCCTCGAATGGCACATTCTGGCGTCGCATAGTATCATAATTTCATCTGCATCCAACTCGTACATAAAAATCTTGATTCTGATCATTAGGCAACCCAACACAATTTAATGAGAATAACGATATATTTTAATAAGTAGAAAATTATTGCACGAAATGAACTAGTAAGGTAGACACGAAGTGTATCACAACTTACGAGTCAAGAGTAGTGTGAGTAAGAAAACTATCCCATATATCTTCTTCTCCATGTTGAGGTTTGAAGTTGTGATTGATAGTTTTGAAGACATGAAGTTGGTTTATTTATAGACCCAAGTTAGAGAATTTGTGGGCAAAATTTTGATAAAAGGCCGTGCATGGGAGAGTGAAGAGGTAAGTTTGAGTTAATGAGGGATGAAAATGCATTAATTGTGTTGATAAATAGATTATTGTTGTTTTAATTTCTTGGAGGTCCATTTCAAAAAAGGTTGAAGTAGATAACGGAGGCTAGTTGGAGATCAAGAACTTGGGAAAAATTTAATTAATAACCTTATAAGAATTAATCATTTGGTGATAAAATATGAATGGACCGATGGATAGTCATTTTGATTTTGTTTGTTTTTGTGCTGTTTTACATTGAATTGCACCTAGTTTTGTGGTGTTAACTTCGACTTTCGTACATCTAGAATATATTCACCTTGCTCAATGCCTTTTCAACTGCCACGGTTGTGTTAGATACAAAAAATCTCCTTGACAGTTAGTCATGAAATATGATATGCATTATTCATTTTTTACCACTAAACCAAGACATCGAATTGGAGTGACGCTTGAGGTGCTCTGGCAGTTTTAAGTATGAGATATGCAGTAACAATGATTCCTTCTCACAATCCCACCCGATGAGCTATCGCTATTTTGGTAGGCATTGAATTCTGTAGCCCAAGTTTTGGAAAAGTGGAAAGAATAAGAAGCAAGAGAGAATGACACCGAATTTTCCCCGAGTCCACTTGTTGCTTCCTTAAATAAATCATACAACAAAATTTTTGTTTGCACGACAAGGAGCCGTGGGTTAAGACATTCACTGAAAAGAATAAAATTGTTGGCAGTGTAAGTTGATATATACAAAATGTCATAATAATCGTTGAGTTGGTTGAGCAATTCGCTTTTATAACAAATTTACAATTAAAAATGTATCGAGAATATAAAAATAACATTTAAATATTTCAGTAACATATCATTATCAAGGACACTATTTGTTCAGGATCACTAGTAAATAGATTACTAAATCCCAACATAATAGTTACACATTGTTCAACAAAAAGTCGAGCAGTATGATAGTAAACACCAGAAAAAATATCAAGACCATTTTCAAATGCTCCCAAAAAGGTTATCAGAGTATTACATTTGAGCTAATTATTGAAATTAAGAGTGATATTGATGTGCTGACGCTCAACCTGATTGAAAAAATCCTCTAAAATAGGGAAAATCAATGATTTTCGTTAACATTTTGTAAGTTGAGTTTCACCGGGTGGAAACATTCGGTGCAGGCTTTTTTTTTTTTTTTTTTTTTTTNATAAAACATCACGAAACATGGTCAACGGTCCTGACTAGTTCCGAACCTTGGACATTTCATCTTTCCTATTCTTCTCATATACTCAATATTGCAAACAAGGAAGAAATGATGGATTTCAATTGAATTCAAAGTGAATGAGTGTAAGATTGTTTGTCAAATATATTCATTATTCGCATGTGTACAACGTTGCTATGACTAGTGGCGAGTAAGGTCGTATTCCACAGTCAGTGTGGTGTGGTCAACTTAATTAAATTTTAAAATAGTAACGACTAAATAATATCTAGACTAGTTCCAATTCAGAGGGTGGTTTAACTATGAACTAACTCAAAATAAACTAAAAATTAATTTAACTACTAAATCAAAGAGCGTTCAAAATTACGGATAAAACAAGATTTGAAGAATATATTCAAGGAATGTTTTTCCCGCAATTAATTCATGAAAAATTTATATACCTTCAAACGTTATTTATTTTACCAATTCTATAATCATTAAACTAACTTAACCCCCAGATAAATCAGAATGAATTAAATGAAAAATATATCACAAAAGTACTAATATACTAACACATCCTAGATTCTCAGAGTCACAAATTCTTGTGTGAGACGACCTAACAGTCAGGCGAGTCAATCCGTCATACTCTATGAGGAAAAATGCATACTCGTACTATCAAATATCATACTTTATTATACTTCCATTTATGGTATTTTTAATGTGTGACATTTTCTAATGAAAATACATGTATTTTTGTGAAAAGAGTGTCAGCCTAATGGTTTAGGCCAGCCAGGGACGGATCCAGAAATTAAACGTAGACTGGGCTAGAATTTTAAATACTAAAAAATCACATAATATTTTTTCTTCAAATATTCATTGAAGTTGTGCTCGACGAGCTTTTACAGAATAAAATTCATCAATAATAGAATCTATACTTATACTATTAGTAAACTCTCGTTCGATGAAGAGATCAAACAATCTTCGAGAAAACCATCCCCAATCTTATTACGAAGTGCTGTCTTCACATGCTTCATGGCTGAAAATGCTCGTTCGGTTGTAGCAGTAAAAACCGGCAATGTCAGAACTAGATGGATCAATCAAGTTAACATAACATACACTTTCGATCTACCACTCTCTGTTAATTTCTGGCATAATTCAACTAGAGTAGATGCCTGAAAAATCTTGAGCTCATCAAGCTTATATTGAATTAACTCGTATTCCAAAGCCACAATATCTTGAGCTGTAAAATCTTCCGGATAGAACTTATTCGCAAGCTTGCAAATATCATCACAATACCAATATAAACCAAATGTGTCCATTGATTAACAACATTATTATCAATCTGTGTTTTGTGCAAGTCATTGATTAACAACATTATTATAAACTGCAATCACGAAAAGGGATTATGAATTACAGTTGTAAAGCAATTTAGATTGCAACATAAACTTTTGGATCTATGCCCCTATTGAATTGATCTTATAATACATCTGGACCTACAAATCAAGTATATCTCATCAATTTCCAAGATAATAAGTAGCTTTAATCTCTCCAAGTGACAACAGAACACAAAACGGAGTCAAGGAAAAACAGAAGTTCAACAAGCAAACGTAGATTGAATTGAAATCTAGCATGCTGAAAAGTGAAAACCAAATTTTCTAGACAGCTAATCAAATAAAATTACAGAGCGTAAAAAAAAAATAAAAAATAAAAAAAAAAGAAGATGAAAAATCAGATACAATACAAAAAATATAACAATAGCTAGCATCAATTTTACAGAACATAATTTTTTTTTAAGTCTAGCCTGCCATCTAGGACTTGTAAAGTGTAAAGACATTTTTTTTTTTTTTACCTTCGAAATTGGAGGACCGAGTCTGCCAACTGGCTGAGTGGTGGCTGGTCGACGAGTTGACGGATGGTGAAATTCGGTGGTCGCCGGCCAGTGAACAGAAACCGCAGTAATTGGAAATACAGAGAAGAGGAGAAGAAAAGTCTCCTGCACGCCAGTTCAACATTCTTTCAAGTTGCAAGATATTATATGTTTGGCTGAATGGATGATATAATGTCATTTGGGCTTGAGTATTTAATTGGG